ACATATACTGAATAACTACAAACATAAAGTTTGGCATGTGTTATAATTGCCTCCTGCTGTTTCCTCCGTTCATCAAAATCTATAAATATAACTCCAAACGACGAAATGCCGTAAATGGCTCACCTACGGGTGGCCGTTGAATTTATCATTGATCGTCCATATTACTAAATAATATTTTTTGATGAAATTCCGGCCCATAAAACCGCCAATACAAATGAATCAAAATACCTGTTCCTTCTGTATAATCTTAACGTATACGTTATTTTAGATATACATGTACATCTTTTATGATGTAGTAACGGTTAAAATATACCAATTATTACAATGAAATGCATTAAATAAAACTGAATAAACAACATTAACCGAAAGGAAGGCGTCAGAAGGGATGGTGGAGGGTGCGTTTTTGTCAATATTTACAAAAATCAGTCTGTGCACTGTTGCTGATCACTGACGAAGGTGAGGTTCAAGTGCGCTCCACTCAACCGTGACCGCCTTTAGTTGACCAATCAGCGTTGACTGTTCACGTGATGTACGCGTGGTCAATATGTGTTTGGCTTAAGTGGAGCCGCTTGTGTAACAAAGGATAAAATTAATTAGAAATTCAAATAAAAATAAGTCTTATCAGGAAGACTTTGCATTTTTCTTCCTCATTTCCTTCTTCTTCTGACGACTCACTTAGGGTTTGACATAAGTCAACATATACTAAATAACTACCAACATCAAGTTTGGTATATGCTATAATTGCCTCCTGCTGTTTCCTCCGTTCATCAATATTTATCGTAAGGCGCTTCTCAACAGTTTGGTCTTTGTTTTGACAAAAGAGCGCAACCTAGCGGAGAGAAATGGTACAAGGGCAGGCAATCCAACTCTGATTGACCATTCCACAAACTGCAGAATTTTTGTTGGTCTGTTTCTTTATGTCTGTGTATGAGTCTGACATACACTCCCATATTAAGTAGACGAATTGTCCGATTGTCGATCAGTTTATTGTACACTTTCGCCATTTCGACACATTTTCAATACATCGTTTTTCTTCTCGATGGTTAAATATAAAAATGAGCTCCTTAGTATCTCCCTAGTACTGTCCCCTTTTTAGAGGTTCATCAAGGGAAATGTTTATTTATGTTGACAGGACGACATAACACAGAAAGGGATGACGTCATGATATATTATAATGATATCGGACTGGTATTTCCTTGCTCACGTCTCGGATAGTTGAGTACCATGAAGTCAAAGTCGTATAAATGGATATTTTGTTTACACTACAATCACTTTGAAGTAAAAAATATTGTTTATGGTAGTACGAACCAGGCGTGTCACTGTATGACTCTGGCAACTTATCAGACAAATGGATGCAGTAGTGCACTAAATTTAGGTATAGGACTTTATTTGATAACAAGGACAACGAACTTATCAAATTAAATCATTATGAAATGACTCTTATGTCCACGTTTTAGTATATTTTTCATTCTTTTTAATCTTTTTCCAAATTATAAACTTTTGCATATGCTTAAAAATTAATTCTGCTAAGATGTTGTGTCAATATTACATATACCGCAGTGCTTACACATATGGAAAGAAATCAAAATAGAATGGAAAATACGATAAAAAGAAAGTAGGAGACCGATAAAATAATAAACACATCATGGATGTCCAGATATAAGCGGAAGTTTATTTTAGCAACGCTTGTGGCTCCCCTGCTAAATTGTCGGAGGTTTCGCTGACAAATTTGTTGATGTTTCAGTTTTATATATGGTTTGCCGAAACACTTCTCCAAATCTGATTCATATTTCAGTTGTAGATCTGTTGTGAAAATGTTTGATTAAAAGTGCTAAACAATGTGCCCTTTTAAAAAATTCTAATGGATATACATAGCTGCTCTCGTGCTACTTTGCACTGACAAAATTTAGTTTTGCAGATAAACTTTTTTTTATGGCAGGTGACTGGTCCCAGTCATTGCATTGATAACAAGGATAAGATCATAATATGCTGCTTACTTTGTAACGTCCACTTATCGATTGTATGAGCACACTTAGAAATTCTGCTGACGTATTACCAAATATGATTCTTTAATTGCATATTATAAAGGGGGATACTGTCATCAGATGGTCCGTCCATCGTTCCATCGGTGGACACCATATTATAAACCTCCCACAACGAGGCCAGGGGGATACTGTCATCAGGTGGTCCGTCTATCGATCCATCGGTGGACACCATATTATAAACCTCCCACAACGAGGCCAGGGGGATACTGTCATCAGGTGGTCCGTCCATCGATCCATCGGTGGACACCATATTATCCGGTTACTTCTACAATTCTTGTCTGTTATATTGAAAATTAATTATCACACTTTTGTTTCAGCTTTGAAGGTTTTCTATGATTTCCCTCTTCCGTCTTTGCGTATTGATTGTTACGTCATTGGTTTGTGTAAAAGAAATAACGTCGTTTTCTCAAAAATTGGTGACGTTACTCTCACAAACAAGTGACGTAACAATCAATACCTGATCCCAAGAGAAGATAACTCTGCAATACGCAAAGACGGAATACACACAATGTAACAACTTATTATATTGACAATTCTTGAACGATTTTACTACGTACTGTCTTCAATGGAAGAATTATTGGCTCTAAGTGAGGAATGCATGGCGATTATTCCCTCAGAGATATATTTCGATACTTTTAATATTATCAAAGACAACTGTTAAACATTTATTACAGGAACTTCAGCATGCATATCACTTCATCAACATACCTGATAAAAGTTGACGACGGAAGTTTGCTCGGAAAGAGCTGGGCATATATCTTATAAAGTGGCTTACAAGTCTTGTTGTTTTAGTATTAATGTTTTAAAAAGTGGTATTGAGATTTGTTCATTATGTTGTGATAGAGTTATATTCACGTGTATCATTTTGAAAAAGTTGATACACCAATAAAAGATTTTAAAAAAAATAGTTTTCTTTTCTTTTTATGTGAATCAAAAGGGAATACAAGGAGGAAATTCTAACTCAAAATCTATAAAATGACAATAAACTGAACTTGGGTGACACTCAAACAACAACATAAAGATTGTGAACTCACATAAAACATGTATCCGTCATTATGTCGTATGTCACATCCAGGACAGTATGTTGGTCATGAATGATCTATAACATTGTAAAACAGTCTTTACTCGTGCCGATCGTGACATGTCGTCAACGTAGATCAAAGATTGTCCGGTAGAATACTCTGCAAACTTATGGAAAGTATAATGTTGGTCTATTTTCCACAACTGTCTGACTACTAGTGACGAAAGGTGAACAGTCATGAATGTGATGTTGTGCTTTATGATAGGTATTTATTTTTGGCGTTCTGTATCAAATATGTTTGTCTTACGCTCATCTTTCTGGCAGGGAGGAGACAATTATATTCATACATATATAAAGTAACAATGGTTTCATAAGTAAAGTCTTTGGTATCTATAATATCAAATTCTGCAATTAGAATGAAATACAAGTAGGTCTTTAGGAATACAAACAACCACACACAACTCTCATCCCTGATTAATTTGGAAGGGTTATACCTATAATGATACCTTAAGGTCAAAATTGCTTGATATGAAAGAGTTCTTGCCTATTAATATCGCGTTGAATTGTGTCGCATTACTAATTATTTTGAATAGGTGATGCAAGTGGCGTACTTCCTTGTTTTTTATGTCCATTTATTAGAAAGGTCATTTATGGTTATTGATTTTCTTCCTATCCTTGACTTTGTATTCCATGTTACAACGTTAATAGCAATACATTATTCATAAACTTTATTATGACGTTTTACTCTGCAAATATACATTCTTTTCAGAGATCAATTATAAATATATCATTGACCTCTATTTAATTACCCTTCCACATCCCTTCATCAACAATTCTTGAAATGACTTCTTTTTTCTGAAATGCTGAAAGGAATTCCATGAAACCTGACGACGAGAAATACATTAATGTATGCATCTAAGATTGTACAAATGGAAGACTTTACTCCCCGGGGCTGCGGGGCGGGGCAAAAAAAAGTTAAAAACGTCTTCGATACACACAATCTAACCACATCTACAGTTAATGGATGGAGATTACCAGCATTGATCCAGGAGTAAGGCCCTCTCTCTGAGGGCATAGTACTTGGATCAAAACATAGAAATGATTTAGATTCCGATCTTATATATATAACTATATTCACATATTGAAGCTCTCCTAATAGCTTGTTTTGTAAAAGGAATGGTGTCGCTACCTTGAGATCGGGTTAGGGTACAAGGGAAATTTTTGGTATTTAAGTCTTAAAGGTCTACTCTTTCTAAAAAAAAGTGGTCATATTTCAACTCAATTCGCTATGATATATCTCTGGGAAAAGAAAATTTAATAATCTTATGTATGTCAAGTCATTCCAGGTGCTGAGAGGCTGAACCCAATATTGGGGAAAATAATCATGCTGATTTTAATGAGAAAATATTTTGCCATGATTCCTTAAAAATCAAGTTTTAAATTGTAATTCTACTAAAAATTTAGTTTAAAAAAAATAAACAGTGCATATAATCAAATACGATCACACTTTAGGTTTTTTAATCATTTTTATTCTATATCTTTTAAAACATATTTTTAAGTAACCTAAGGGAGAAATTACTGAATGAAATATGGAAAATAACTCTCGATCTTGTCAATTATTCAGATGCATTCGCTATTGTTCAAAAGTTTCCTTTTGTTTGATCTCTTTGTTTCAAGTGCTTATTTTTATTGCTTAACATGATAGATCATCAAACATCAATGCCACTGGTACTATAAATATCTACTTATCAAATAATTAAAAAGGGGACTAGTTTTGCTATGTGATCCTTTGGTATGTATTAACGTTGTGCGTATGTTTGAAGTGAAGAACACCTACTGAATCCAATGGACAGGCAATATGCACGTTGTTCAACCTATCAGACATGGAGTAGACATGGCGTCCTTTTTTATATGATATGTATTTATCTTTTCAGCCGGTGTGTTATTCTAATTTGACGTTCACAACGAGTGGTCTAGAGCTTAATAAAGGATGTGAATCTTTTCGAACTTGTGTCGAAAAAGCTCGAGCTGTCAGTTCACAATGCTTTGGGAGTGCCAACGAAGTTCACTGTAAATACTGTTGTATAGGAGACAGCTGTAACCATGGAAACACACTAGGTAAGCTCTCCGTTGATTACCATATCACGTGAGCATTTAACGGATTATGAGTGAATATCAATATGTGAAGTATTGTTAAGTGTGCTCTTGTTTCATGCACTATTATTGAATAATGAAATCGATAATGAGATTGGTGATCTACAATGAAATTTACTGTATTAAATAACGATACGTATGTAAGATTTATTGATTTTCAGCACGTCAAATCGTTTCATCAATCAATACGATATGTTTACCAGTCATAAAGCAATTTAAAAACTCTATTTAGGAAGATCAGCTAACTTTGGTCTCAACCCGCAATGTAACTCACAGCACATGCATCACACACATATCGCATAGCAAATACATGTAACCTTCTCTAACCACTAAACCAAACTGAAAGAACGGAAAACGCCTTGATCAAAATAAAAATATTAAGAAAGAAGTGTTATTTCACAGTATCATTGAATGTTTATAATTTATAATTATTGCTGGAAGAAAGAAGGAATGCAGACAACATAGAAGGGGGTGGGGGGAGTTATTTCAGATGACAAATGTGATGTATAACATAAAAAAGCAAACGAATACCTGATTTATACATTAAACGAATAAATGCATGAGAACGAAATCGAACATTTTGTATTAAAAATGTTTCATGACCAGTATTGATATATTTTATTTAGTAACATTTTCTTCTTATATCTGCCACTTCAAATATTGAGATTCCTTTTTAAGTACATCCGTCTATATTTGCTCTTTCTCCTTACCAATGAAAACGGAAAACTGAATAATAGGTTTTTGCTAAGGGAGTCATAATGACAAGGACATGGACTGATTAAATAATGGAAGATAAGGAAGAGTATAAGGTTGCATAAACGAATAATTTCCGAGGTACGTTTTTACCTAAACATTAATGACCTTTCATGTTGGTCTTTGATTCGAATATCAAACGATATTTATACAGAATTCTTATGGTAATGAAAACAACTCCACAGGTTACAATAGCAAAAAATAGTTCCTCTTCAGTTTATTTTTGGACTGATTCATGGAAGATGAAGCAACAACCGTGCATATTACAAAATGTCATTGAACTCGCATGTTTTAGGGTAAAGGGCCACCTGCTAAACTACATGATAGTTTCTCCGGTTACTTCAGTTTCCTCCAATATAGAGGCCTCATACGTTTTACCAGCAGGTCCAACAAAAAGGAATCAATATAAGCTTGTATAACCAGTTTTATAATCATTATGATAAGTATCACATATGTGTTATAAAAACGAATACTATTCAGAAACGCAATATAATTAAAATTATATCTTCACATCACTCCCGTTTACTGATATGTCGCGTTGAAGATCTAACAACATCCCATAGAGGGTCACGTCAGAGGTCAACATGAATGCATTATCGTATTTATAACAAGCCAATCAAAACGCTACATAACTCTTTCTTTCAACCAATCAGAAAGCAGGACCTGTAGCATTTAATGCAGACACCTCGAAGCCCAAAATCCACTTTTTCGTCTGGTCCAGTGATAGTTTGAATATTGCGAAGCCTGTCATTGGTTAATTTTAGTTTCAGGTTGTTAAACTTTTTAACGACAACATTACCAGAAGAGGAAGTCTCTCTTATTTCAAAGCAAAATCCACAAATTGTACAAACGTTGTCTTGTAGATAGACACGGCGTGGTGTCATGGGCGCCGCCATTTTCGATGCTCATATGACACCTCTCGGTCTTTTATCATAGCAAGTGTGTTCCGAAATCATTACATCATCACTTACAGAAATTCGTAAGCTCTCATCTGATTGGTAAATGCAAAGGTCGCCTGAACATGACCCTCTACGGGATGTTGTTAGATCTTCAACGCGACATATCAGTAAACGGGAGCGATGTAAAGATATGATTTTAATTAGATTGTTCAGAAACGATACCATATACCCCCTGTTAAATGTATGTAGTTCATATGGTATTTGCTTGCAATAACTAATCGTATATAGATGTAAATGAAGAACAATGGGCATTGAACAGAAAAGGGAAATAGGAAATACTCCTTAAATGGGGATCAACATATTTGAACATGTTTTGGTTTTTTAATGACATAGGGCAAACTACATTTCGTTTCGCATAATGAGGATATGACTCCTTGCTGCCATGAAAACATATGGTTACGACCAATCAGGGGGAAAAGACAAAATATACTTCATAGGTTTATCTTTTCATGGGCCTGAACAATGTTTTTTTTTTCTGACTAATTCGGAAGTAAAGAAACTCGACGATTGTTTGCTTAGAGAATGGGGTTTCGCTCTGTACCTAGCCTATGCAAACTTAAACCAAAATTACTGAGCATATATCTACGGATCGATCAATGTATGGTCATACGATCGGTGGATTCTAAAACAATGATTGTCTTTGACTAAAACGGTTAACGTTGAATTTAACCAGATTCATAAGATATTTCCTCATAAATTTTATTTCATTATTTTATTGAATTTTGAATTTTAATTTGATAGGTCGGACAAGAATAATAACGTTTGACTTATCAACGTTACTGCGTGGTACTTTGGAGTCCAATCTTTTTAATGTTGGTTCACTGGCATACACCCAGTTTCAGACCGGAGTAAGTATTTTATGATACTGCATTTATAAGAAATATTAATGAGTCATTATCTACAGAAATATATTACCTGGTATCTGAACGCACAGGTGTTCTTTGAATGCGTTAACAATGGTTGCTTCGGCAGCTGATGCGTATTGATTGTTACGTCACTTGTTTGTGAGAGTAACGTCATCAATTTTTGAGAAAACGACGTAATTTTCTCGCACAAACCAATGACGTATCAACCAGTACCTGCTGCCAAGAGAAGATAACTCTGCAATACGGAAGGACGGAATATAAATAGAAAAGGTATAGCGAAAATGTGGACAATGATTTATTTTTGTAAATTCATGGCAAAATATCAAAAAGGATTTGCTTTCTATAAGTATTGGTGTAAACCTTATGTAAAAATATTTTCAAGGTTGAGAAGGTCAAAATCAAACATGAACATGAAAATTACTAAAATATGATATGTAATGACAACTATCTCAGGAAGTATGACAATTTTGCTTATATTTACATTAACATTTTGAAAATGCATGCTTCATACTCAGGATAACGAGTTCTGGCAATTTTCGAGGGTTTTAGTTCAACGATCAAGGTCACGGATGCATGAGAATCCTAGAAATGGCTAATGTTTTGTTTACTTCAGGCCGACTTTCTGTGAATGCTTTGATATTTTGTATTAGAGTTAGGAAAGTTTCAGTGTAAGAATTTAGAGGTCAGGGTGTGAATGTCAAGCACAAAGATATGTTGCAAAAGTGTAGTTTTAAGTAATAGTTTTTCAGGTCTTGACCTTCAAGGTAATTTTGTTATAAGCTATGATGCACGATCCATTCGGAAAAAGGACAAATCAAGATCATGAGGTCAAATTAATCACCAATGTCACAATGTCATGAAAGTGATACTGTCACTTAATCAAATTAACCCCCCCCCCCCCCTGAGCGTCTTGCTTACATGTATAACTTTTTATTTCAGATTGCAAATATTCTGACCAATCAAGCATTAGGAACATATCACGTGATTGTAAAAGTCATCGCGCCAAGCAGGTACATAAAAAAATATGTTATCATTTAAGGGTACACAAATAAAGAGGTAAAAAGAGAATTGCGGCATTCGGTAGAAATTGATGAAATACAAAATGTAATTCATTAAGAAAGAAATGTTTATGTAGGTTTCAGCAAGATAAGGCAATCATGTTTTTTCTGTTTGTGTGTTGCTTCTTTTAGTGATAATAGATACATGAATAATACATTATTAAAATGTATGATCCCCAAGAGAAGAACGAACATTATACCGATATCTCCGTTCTATGTCAAATTATTTCACACATAAGTTGTTATTGCTCCTTTCAAATAGATATTGTTGCATTGTGGTGGTTTTCCTTTTAACTTTCCACAGTGGAGAATTTACCGTGATTGCTACCATCGACTGCAACACCTTGGTGGAAAAAACTGAACTCACAATATATAACTTTATCTATACTGAACTGAAAAAAGTACAGGGGCTTTACGAACATGACGTGAAGAGCTGGAGCCTTGATCACCCAAGTAAGTATTGGTTCAAAAAAATACGTACATCACAACTAAGCAAGCTAGACCATTATCCAAATTCAAAGTGGATGAACAAAGACGACAGTGATAACCAAGGAGAAAAATGAATACCATCATGACTATTCACAAAAAAACCGAAATCATGTGCTTTGGAATAAAAACCTTTTCCTGCACACATGTCTGTCTATTTTCTATTCAAAAACTTCATCGAATAAACCCTGCAATAAAATAAAAATAACTATTTAATATCCCATCAATTTTGAAAGACTTCTAGGGGACACATACAATTAGGACTTAATGGGAACCCGAAATAATTCAAATTAAAAAATAGCTCTTGTCGATTTTGCACAAACAGTTAAAGTGCACAAGAGCAGCCGAATAAAACGACATAAGCAAAATACATTTTCCCTTAAGTGGACGTCATATACACCACGATATCTTAAACCAGTCTTCCCTGCAGCATAAGTGTTTTAGCCAACAATTGCTATCATTTTACTAACTAATATTTTACTAACAAGATGCCCTGTGGAAGATAAGCTTTGCTTAACAGGTTTTAGCCTCAGAAAATAAAGTTTATTATTATTATTATTGTTATTATTATATCATCAGGCTTTAGAGACCTAAACTTTAGGATTCAATGACGTTCTCACCATAATCATAATGTGTTCGAACAATCAGAAACGTTTTCTGCATAGAGAATCTCTTGGTCCTTCAAACTGAGGTCCGCCGAATTGACATTGAAGGTCACAGGCCTACACCGATTCAGTCAGTCATGTATCCCGCACCTGTTCATCAACCCTTTCCTGACCTTGAAATCTTTCTATTCCATCTGCACACGGGGCTGCGGTGGGCAAGTGGTTAAGGCGTCTGACGATCTGCTACCACTAGCTCTTCACCACTGGGTCGCGGGTTCGAGGCCTACGTTGGGCAGTTGTTAGGTACTGACCATAGGTGGGTGCTTTTCCTACGGGAACTCCGGCTTTCCTCTACCACCGAAACCTGACAGGACCTTAAATGACTGTTAATAGGACGTAAATCATAAACAAACCAAACCAGATCTTATTCACCTGCAGACACTCTGAATACACAACATTCCGCAACTTACATTGTTTAATCACTAATATCCATTTCGGTCGAAACGTCTTTATGCTTTATAAATCTAATTTCTCCGTAATCTTGAAAAAGTAAGAAAACCACAAAAGTTTCTGCATTTGACATCGCAAAGGTTGTTCTTTTATTTATTTGTTTCTTTTTGCTTTAACGCACTAACTTATTTCTATGTGCTATACTCTTCTAATAGCTGCACCATCTACTGAAGACACCCAAAATGTGCAGGTTTTGCATTTTACAACCGATATATTGTAACGGCATATTGTCTTTTTTTTGTAGCTTTGTGTCCCGCCGAACTTGTTGACAGTCCTAAAGGAACGTTTTCATGGCCTGCAGCTGAAATAGGGGCTTCAGAGAGAGCTCAATGCCGAAACTACACTGGAAACAGGATCAAATATGCAACAAGAGAGTGGTGAGCATCCGTTTATCTACAACATATTGCTGAAGAAAGTTTATGACGAATTCCACTTGAATTCATGAAAGTATTACCGTTATAATCTTAGCGTACAATATTATGGGTTTGTTGCGTCCTTTTTAATTGCAAGGACATTTCTTTGTTCAATACAAACATGCAATATATGCCAGACAAATGGTTACCTCGGGATCTACCCGAGTACCTTCATATACCTGCGAATGTAAACTAAAAGGGCGTGGCCAAAGGGAGCGCGCTACGTCATATTGAATCTGATGGAAACTTAGCGACCATATCTAGTTTATCTATGTAGCAAGGTGGCAAACACAACACTTACAATTGTTTTCATTAAGTGATAAATATAATTACGTGTTGCAATGCTCTGGTAAGCGCCTTGTTGTAACGTCATATCATTTCTGATATCATGATTTATCACATAATGTACTGTGTTATCCAGCTGATATAACCATGATATATATGTTTTTGCGTATTAACCCATGTTATATGACCTATTAGCAATGTGATTGGTTGAAAGTTTCAATTGTTTCAATTGTGACGTCACGCCTAGGACAATTACAGAGGCTCGCTGAATTGAAAAAACATTAGACTCGTTTCATAAATTTCATATGAAATGAAAACTCATGTAAAATCCTATATGTCTCCTAAATTGAATATAAATTCGGAAACACACATTGAGCAGCAGTTTTCTTGTTCAATAATGTTTCGTTTGATAAAATAGCATTTTACGCATGGAGTTCTAGGATTTTATTTTAATATCGCATTGCGCTCTTTAAACGTATTGTTGTGACGCGGATACATTCTTTTGTTTTTATTCATATCGGATAAAAGTTCTTCAATTCCATTGATGTATATGATAAAAACAGTAAAATTGAAACCTATTGTTTTGTAATGGATCTAACGACAAAATGAATATACAAATTTTGATATGAGTTCATTTTGAGGAATAGGAGTTCAAAACGTCATTTTGTTTAGGCAGAGAGTCAAACAAAGTAAATATATACTGCACCATATAACCACTTCGCCCGTTAGGACCCATAAGTGGACGAGTCATATATAAAGGACGAGTCGCTCATATTCCGATACAAATATTTACAGAAAAACTATATGAAATATATCTATTTAAGTTGATTTGCTAGTTTAAAAGTCGTGCCTTTGATTAGTGTAAGAGTTATCTTTTTGTTATGATTCATATTGCTTTGCCTTTTCTGTTGGTGTCCTCTACATATTGTTATTTTTTAATCAATATGGTGTTCCATGTTGTCCTTAAGTATCTACATTGACGATGTCGTACATTATTTTTATCAACTAAAGTCTCATGGGGATACAAAATAAGGCAGATTGGTCAGCGATGAGTGTTGGGGATTGCCTTGACTACACTGGAACAACGACGACAACGACGACGACGACGACAACGACAATAGCGCCCCCTGTGAACAGAACGGCCGATTTGACAGCGCTATCTCGGGAAGCCGCCACAGACGGTAGATGCTTATTACTTTATTTACATTTATTTGCCAAGTTGTTGATATAAGAATAACTGCCTAATAGGTGTCATATTGCTATTCTTAAATCCTAAATATATGACTAGATTATTTTTTGGCTATTCTATGATCATAACGAAAAAAGGATTTTTAATATACTCAATAATTCCTTAAAATAGCAAAAATAATAAAATATATCATAACGATAGCAAATAGTTCCCCATCTTTCATCATAGCTAATGCCGATGACCAGGCTTTGGAGCTCGCAAAAATATCAGAGGCATCCGAAACCTACACCAGTGCCGATGTGAGGTTGACGGTCGATAAGTTAGAGGAGTTTGTCAACTTGGATAGCACACACTCCTCCATACAAAGAGGAGGGAACATAGCGAAGACCATGAGCAACTTCCTGGATACACCACAACTGCAGTTATCAGCTGCAGAGAAGGACTCAAATAGCCCAACTAGGTAAGAGTCGTTAATTACTCAAATGTTAGCATTACGTTGTCGTGGACAAGTAATACACCTGCTACACCGTTTGACATAGTTTTGACGTAGATTTTGACGTGATAAGTAGCCTTTTTCCATATATATTCATTAGGAAAGTTTATTTTAGATAATATGGAGTGTTTATGTCTTTATATTTTTAGACGTTTATTGTATTGTTGCATAAAAATGCCCGTTTTTTTCTATCAGTAAAAATGCATCAATATACAAAGACAAAATCTTAAGCCAATGTTGATACAAACAAACCATTTCTTTTATTATGACACCATAACAAATGAAAACACATCTAGAACACAGATAAAGAAAACCCCAAAGAGAAATCCAGGTTCTGTAAAAAGGGTATTTTCGGCGAATAAGCACTGCTGAAGATAAGTTATTGATACTTACTGGCAAAATACATAACAACTCGCCGCTTACACTTTAACTAATAAATCAGAGAGCAAACATTTTCAGGGAAAAAATAGAAGATATCATTTAGAACTTCTTTGCATTGTCAAAATCAGAACGACGGGTGTAACTTTGGAGTATATGTCATTGTTCATCAATTATGTCCCTACGATAACTTAATTTAGTTTAAACAGTATTTATCCAATATTCAAACATGTTAATTACATATATATAATTACACAAGGATCATGTGAAAATGAAACATTTTTTTTTATGAATACCAGTTACATTTGATCTGTATAGGTGTTGGAGAAGTTCCGTATTTCATTTTCATATAAAAAAAAATCATCCCATTAGAGGATATACAACTAGTAAACGGGAAACAAAAACTCTGTTTCCTTGATAGATATATAACTAATCTACTAAAAAAAACAAAAAAAAAACGTATCTTTAAAACACACCACAGCATACAGCGGTGTGATCAAATATGTAATTCGAACAAAGAAACGTACACCGAAACCATTGAAAAAGTACAAGGATATTACGACCATGTGTTTCTGAAGGGTAAGCGTCTTCTGTTTCATCGACGACACTTGCTATGTTGACTTAAGTCTAATCAAAGTAGTGTTATATGTCCTTAAACGTGAGACAAAGGGTAGTGACAACGACACATATTGCACACGAACGAGCATAAGTAAAAAGCATCGGCATTCATATATCATGTTTCCATACAAAATGTTTCCAAAAGAGATCCTACTATCACACAAATCGTGAGTAAGCACCCTGTCCTAAAAAACACTTGCAAACATTCTGAAGTTTTTTTCGGTTTCTTATTTCCTTTTAACGATATGGCTTTTTCTGTCCAGTGTATGTAAAATATAAACAAAATGTTGCATACATAGATATACATTGTACCTCAACAATCAATGTGTAGATAGAAGTCTTGTTTAATTATAAAAAAAGATGTGTTTTTTATCAGATTTTTGCAGACAGTACAGAAGCTTGTAGATAAGTCAGCACAGAACAGTTTCAGCGCTGTTAATCCAAATTTGGCACTTTTCTCTAGAGGAGGCATAACATCGTCCAATTTCAATGGCTATACTATTCAATCGAATAATAAGCCAGGAGAAAAATTTGCTCCGACTTCTGTAAGTATGCCAACGATTGTTTTAATGGATAAAAAAACCTATCGGAAATAAGAGACGAAGAGAAAAGCGTCAATGAGTAAACAAATTGATGTTGCAGTTAACCATATTTTACCTGTTGTTTGGGTATTTCATCCTTGATTGTTTTTGTTTCATGTTGATAATGTAGCATAATTTGTTCTTTTGGGTGTAGTGTATCCTGGTCTGGTTTTCCTTACGTTTGTCCTTAGGTAGCAGAGTACAGTAGAAATGGCTTGACCCTAAAAATAAAGGGCATGTCTCGGATAAACATGGATAGCGGATTCATCCTGCAAAACACACCTACATATATACATATATATATAAACTACAATCTGAATACTTTTATTTTAGAAGAATGGATATTTTTTCACAAATTTTCCCAGATTTGGGACTTGTGAAAACCATGGTTACCACATCATAAAACGCCAAAATATGCAAAAAAAAAATGCAAAAAAACATGATTTTTAACCCAAAATTTGACTCACGCAAGTAGTATTTTTTTTCTTAAAACATGTCTTAAATTGAATATCACCTACTCGGTCACAGCTACTCACGTTTTAGCATAGGTCGTCAGACTAGATTTTTCACAATATTTACACATGTGCTGAGTACAAAAAAAGACTACATGAAAAACAAGCTTTTGTTGTGTAGACACAAATTCGTAAATGGCAAAAAATGTAGTCTCAAGCCAAATTCAATTGTTTCAAAATGTGAAGCCCACATTCATCATGTTTATGCCAATTTTAGAGCTGATTTATTTTAAACTTTTGATACATGTAATATTACAGGGGTTATTCATTGTATAAAAATATCACCCATGGCCACCGTACGCTACTGTACACTGCTACCTTATTTTTGTGTGTTATGGTTTATTTTGTCTTTTTGTGTAATTATTGTTATATAAAACTTCATTGCACTTTCACGGTATGATAAAGTTTGACCTCTTTTATTGGCATTGTGACATACTGCTGCAGTGGCATATGCTTTGTTCTTGTAGGTTAACGTTGTGGTATATTAATTAGGTGTTGTATATGTTTGTTTATTAAGTTCTTGTTTGTTGACGCTATGGCATATTTTGTATGTCTGTGTAAACACTGTTGTATTGTTTGTATTTCTGTGTTAACGTTGTGGTATATTTGTTGTTGTGGTATAGTTTGTATTTCTATGTTAACACTGTTGTATTGTTTGTATTGTTTGTGTTTCTGTGTTGACGCGGTGATATGTTTTGTGTTTCTGTGTTGACGTTGTGGTATATTTTGTCTCTCTGTGTTGACACTGGGGTATATTTTGTCTTTCTGTGTTAACAGTGTGGTATATTTAGTCTTTCTGTGTTGACGCGGTGATATATTTTGTCTTTCTGTATTTCAAACTGAAGTACATTTTGTCTATCTGTGTTAACACTTTGGTTATTTTGTCTGTCTGTGTTAACAGTGTGGTATATTTTGTATTGCTCTGTTGACACTGCGGTATATTTTGTCTTTCTGTGTTAACACTGTTGTTATTTTTTTTCTTCTGTGTTGACGCGGTGATATATTTTGTCTTTCTGTGTTTCAAGCTGTGGTATATTTTGCCTATCTGTGTTGACACTGTGGTATATATTGTCTTCCTGTGGTAACACTGTGGTATATATTGTCTTTCTGTGATGACATTGTTGTGACTTTTGTTTAGACACTGTTGTTTATTTTGTCTTTCTATGGTAACACTGTGGTATATTTTGTATTTCTGTGATGACATTGTTGTGACTTTTGTTTAGACACTGTTGTTTATTTTGTCTTTCTGTGGTAACACGGTGGTATATTTTGTATTTCTGTGATGACATTGTTGTGACCTTTGTTTAGACACTGTTGTTTATTTTGTCTTTCTGTGGTAACATTGTGGTATATTTTGTATTTCTGTGATGACACTTTTGTATGTTTGGTGTTTCTGTGTTGTTCTTGTTGTATATGTTGTGTTTCTCTGTTGGTCTTGTTGTATATGTTGTGTTTTCTGGGTTGGTCTTGTTGGTATATTATGTCTTTCTGTGATGACACTGTGGTATATTTTGTCTATCGGTGTTGGTGTTGTTGTATATTTTTGTTTAAGTGTTGACGCTGTTATTTATTTTGTCCTTGTTTATTGTCGCTATGTATTTATTTTGTTCTTGTGTGCTGGCGCCGTGATGAATTGTACACTTTTTTGTCAATGTTGAGGGATATGTTGACATTACACGCTGGTTTGTGTTTCGTTCCTATGTGTAGTCGCCGAAATAGTTGCTGTGGTTCTTTGGTCAATCTGTAATGCATTTTGTTCCGATATGTTTGTGCTGTAGATTTTATTTTCTTTATATGTTTATCTCATGTGATACCTTGTCTGCCAACATCACGGAAAACATTCAGGAAACACATATTAGATTTTCAGTTTATTTTTTATATACCATTAAGTTTTTCATAAACGATCTGCTAAATATTCACATTTGTGTCAACAAATGCACTGTAGCATGCTGTTTCAATTAACACAAGCAAGGGATTTACAGAACTATCTTAGCCTTTTTCTGGAAGCTCATTATACGATCAGGAAGTTGGGTGGATTCAGTTTCTGTGGACATGCATTTGTCTGTTTGGGCTACAGACGCCAGTAAACATAAAGCCGTAAGTGGAAATAGATAAGCTGTGACGCACGGTTCATCAAATGTGTTACATGATTAACCCTGTTAATTCATATCTATATATAATCAACATAATATAATGATACCAATTACGTCATTTTAACAAACATATAAGTTAAGTGTTTATTCTCTTTCCTCTCGTATCGGTTACAGGTAGAGGTGATAGCTGGATCACGCAATAACAGCGAACAATCCTACATGATTCTACCTGCCGATCTCCCACAGTCATTGAGCGCCAGTGAACGATCAGCTATGTCTAAAATTACGTTTGCAGTTTTTGCAGAGGACAAGTTATTTTCCGTGCGTGTTGTGCTCAAATAAATTTACCATACCAACGATAAATTTGTTGTTTCATGACCATGTGCTTTTAGTGTAAAGATACAGCATTAAATATGGTAGTGATTCTGATTTAAAGTATTTGATTACAGTGTTAAGTACATGTATGTACCAACGTGAAGCAACTAGTTTAATTTGAAACATCTCTCATTACTTTATCGAAATATGGCAATGCAAGGAGTACATGATCGCCAGTATCCTTTAGAAGTTTACCATGTTAAGCTTGTCATAATATGCATTATTTTAAAAAAAATCTGATATTTTCGCTCTTTTTAATGATTGATAATCCCCTCCTCTATCACCGCCACCACAATCACTGGGTTTATTGGTTTCAGGCAATAACAGGTAAACTTCCAGCGTTTGGTGGTCCGCAAGTCGAGGATGATTTGGATTTCATCAGGGGCCCAAATAGTTTGATAATGGCTGCTTCCATTCCGAACGTTGACGTCAAGGGTCTACAAAGTCCTGTCTTACAACGTTTTGTTCATACTGAAAAGGTAATTATGACCTCAGATTGTATCCTTTTATTACATATATCATTTGGTGTTAACTCTTTTTACAGTCAACGTTCCGGAACGGTCAATGTCACATTTGGCCACTTTTGAAATATATAAAGCTTGTGTGAAAAAAATTTCACAACTCCCTCACGGATTTATATTTTCTATTGATATTTAAGAATGGCTACACCAAACTCAACACCTTAATAAATCCTGATGGTCATCGAATAATTTTTAAGGGTCAAAGGTCACACATGACAACTTTTCAAGTAAACGTCTTATGAACGAGATATCCCACAAACCCCACATTGGATTTAGTTTATCTTAACACCATTCTATGGTAACATAAACGTCTGAAAGCCAATTATTTTTTCGTGATCAGTATTCAAAATGAAGGGTCGAGGGTCACAGATGACAACCTCTGGGAGATTAGGGTATATCTATATGTATGACCCCTGTCGTTCCTTTTTAGACACATTCACGTACTACGGAGTAAGGATTTTATTGGATAGGGAGTTTCTCCTATCATGCCGAAAGTAAAGACGTTTATAACACTTTTTAATTTAATGTCCAAAAAGAAACGTTTATGATTTGAATATTCGTCATGATTTATCCTGGAACGTTTCATATTTGTAATGCATTCACTGTAAACATATTTTAGTTGTATGTTAATCGTAATGCATCTTTGATAAAACATTATTATGATATATCTTATGACAGAATTCTAAGAATCCAGCCTGCGTATTCTGGGACGAAAACTTGCAGTCTACCGCAAAGTGGTCAGGCGAGGGATGCTCCGTTTACGAAACTGTGGCCAATTCCCACACCACATGTGCATGTGACCACTTGACCAATTTCGCTTTACTTATGGTAATGTATTCATTATTCTTTGAATAAGTATAATAAAACGACTTGCACAAAGAAAAAACGCCCTACCATACATCAGAAAACTGAATGAATCAATGCATATCTTATCTTTTATCTCAGATTTTGTTTTTGTTTCGTTTATCTGTTAAAAGCCTTTCCGTTATTTCATTTCTTAACAAAACATTGTCAAGACTGAGTCTTCTATTATATTTCCAATATATTGACCTAAAATTCCACCAGTCAGTGTTAAACTAGAGAAATGTCCAGATGGTGTATTGAAAATGATCGCTTTGTTTGGATTCCTGCATCGACTCAATTATTTTTCAAATTATTAAAAGATAATGTCCTTTAAACTAAGAAATCATAGCTCTACTCAAAGCACCGTTCATGTCTGAAATAGTTTTCCTCATTACATTATTCAAACAAATATGCTTATTGATTTGCTTTGCGAAAACATAGACGAATTCTCAAAGAACTTGAAATAAATACGATATAACTGGTCCTTATATATAGACTAATTTCTATGTTTTGTCATAAGTATTTCATTCGTATATTGATGTTGATATAGAGGCAGCGTTGCCTATGTCCACATATGTTCAATTAACTTCTATCTAAATGAATGCATTTATTTGTCCCATCATTTTCAACTTTTGCTTACTTAGATCTTGTAAACATCAGGAAATCAATCGAACCGAAAGTGAATTTACTAAAAATACTCAGTTTAAATAGCATTATTTGAAAACCTTGACACGTTTCTTATGCATCAAATATTTGATTTTATCAAGGAGCGGAGTATGGCAGATATTTCGCTGAAGTTTGTTGCTAACGGTAATAGGGTTTTGTGCATGTGTTGTTAATTGTAATGCTATTGTCGCTGTGTCACCGATTGTTTTTTCATTAATTATTACACCTGTGTCCTACGTGCGTAAACATTCAAATGTTCGACTTTTTCTCGGAAACCGTTGGTCAAGATTTGAATAAACTTCGTAGCAATCATAAGCCTATTGTTGGGATCATAGCTTTTACTCAAGCTAAGACTGACCCCAAAGGGACTGAGAGGCGGGGCCATAAGAGGTCACAGAATGCAAAACTTCCAAAAGACGTCTACTCTGAAACTGGACTTCCATTAGCATTTCATAAAACAAGATGATAAGGTTCAGAATTATACTCAAGAAAGAGCCGACCCTCCCCGTCCAGGCCCCTAATGAGGGAAGGGGTTCGGGAAAGGGGTCTCACAGAGGGTCACTTAGTGCAAACATATGGAACAATCATATTTTTTACTTCTGTCCAGAAACAGTGTTTCAGATTTTGTTTAAATTGGGGGTTAACTTCAGCCTGAGGTGGGGATCAGAATTATATTCAAGATGGTGTTGACCCAAAAGGGGCTGAGGGGTGGGACAATAAAGAGGTCACCGAGTTCAAAATCCTCAAAGGACTACTGTGTTGAAACTTACATGTGGATATTTCTTTTTTATTGTAGTTATACAGGGAAATGACATTTTGGGGTATATTTTGTTGATTATCAGTGGGAAATATTAAAAAATTATTTTGAATTCTTACCTTATGATTGACCCCATTGGCCTGAGGGGCTGGGTCCAAAAGCGTAAAACTGCTTAAAATTCAACAAACGTCTTCTCCAAACCCATCTATGCCAATTTTCAAATTATCTTCATTGAAAGAAAAACCCTATTTTTTTGTAAAAATTGGGAATTTCATTTCTCGACGGCCACTACTCTTTTTGAAAAGAAAGAAAAATATTGGCAATTGTAGACTAGAAATAGTACTATTATGGAACTTATAAGGAAGAGTAACATCTACTTTATGACTATATTATTGTGGCTTATCATTTTAATGATATTTATTAGCTCATTATAAATGTAAGTCATTTCCCAACATCATTCTGTAAATGCCAATTCATAGTCAGAAAGTCATATTTAGTAAGATGCATTCTAATTCTTTGTCACAACACAATAACAGGTAACAGCTGCATTTTGATTCCTGTGAATGTTAAGGCCCGTGTGCCTCTTGCCTTCATATTAAGTTCGATGTCTATCAATGACAGAATCCTTTGATATTACCTGATGTTCCTCTATACAAGATCTGTGTACTAATTGGCCCTTATGGGGTTTTGAATGACGAAAATATATTTGTCACGTGTTTTAGCTGATATGTGTCTAGTGTTGCTGCCAGTTTAGTACATCAGTGTTTTCTAGTAGGTCGGCACAGAAACGTGATGTTTTGTGGTTATTGTAACCTAGACTGAAAGAAGATACCTTATAGTGTATTTATTGTTTGATACATCGTAGTTTATTATGCAGAAAAAAATATTATAACATATTTTTTGATATCCCCTTGATGAAATGACGTTAACGCTAGCCGTCTATAACAACAACCTGTTTAAGAGGCTACCTGTCTAAAGAAACCATCTGACTATACCTACCATCTTTCTTTAGTTAAAAATGTCCATCTGTTTACAGTTGTCATCTGTAAAACAATTGTAAATGCATATAACCGTTACATGTTTATTACTTCCACCTGTCTATAGCCACCACTTGTGTATATCTAACACCTGTCATTACAGACAATCGTTCAATAACTACAACGTGGATATTACTACCATTTGTGTATAACTAAAACCTGTCTATTGCTACAACATGTCTTAAGCTACCACTTGTCTATATACTAACTGTCTTTAACTACCATCTGTCTAATCCTACCACCTATGTATAGCTACCACTTGTCTATAACTACTACCTGTCTATAACTACTACCGGTCCCTCACCAGCATTTGTCAATAGCTATACTTTATTATAGAGACAACCTTTCAATAATATATAACTACCATCTGTCAATAGTAACTCGTCTATAATGACAACCATTCTACAACCATACTTACGACCTGTCTGTAACCACCACCAGTCTTTAACTACCACTTATCTGTAACCACCACCGGTCTTTAACTACTACCTGTCTGTAACTACCAACAGTCTATAACTACCATCTGTCTTTATCTACCAACAGTCTATAACCACCACCAGTCTATAACTACCACCTGTCTGTAATCACCACCAGTCTATAGTCTCTACCATTCTATAACTACCACCTGTCTGTAATCACAACCAGACCATAGTCACTACCAGTCTATAACTAACACATGATCTTAAACTGCCCCTTGTTTAAGTAGACAAACCTTCAATAACACGCTCATATTTATATCTGCTACCGGTATATCGATACCATATTTCAATGAAGAGTCCTAACACATGTCTTAAGTTACTCATTGCCTTTACGTACCAGTTTATTCTTACCCTTTTTGTTGCTCCTCTGTGGATTTTATACTTGTTTATTCATATACAGTTGCTTTTTATTGTACTGGGTTGCCATGGTTTCATGTTCTGAGTTATTCAAATGTTTTATTGTTGGAGACATGACCTGATAAAGTTGGTTAAAAATAGCAATTACCATTTTGTTCGTGTGCTGTGTTGTGGCGTCTTTAGTAGATACATTGTAACGTGATAGCATCTTCATAGATTTATTGTGCTGTGATACTCTCTCCTAGATATCAGGATATTACTCTCGGGTCGGCATCGGGATATGACCTAAACAGACTTGGTGATATCATTTAACGCGTGTATTGTAATGTGATGTCCTAACCGATATTGCGATATTATGCTCGGGCGTGTATTTCGTTATTTCGTTCTTGACAGATATGTTGATATTATTATCGAATATCTATTGAATTGTGATGACGTTGATATATATCGCAACATTATCGTCGGGAATGCATTGCGATGCTACGTCCCTAAGATATATCGTAATATTATTATTGTCGTGTTTTATTGTGATATTGTAGACAGATTTCGCGATAAAAGCGTCGGAAGTATATTGAGATATAACGTCCCTAACATATATCTTGATATTCTTGTCCTTCATCTATTGTATTGTGATGGCGTTGATAGATATCAAGATAATATCGTCAGCCGTGTATTGAGATATAACGCCCATAACATATATCATGATATTATCGTCGTTTATCAATTGTGTTTTGATATCATCTTGGACTTGTATTGTGATACTACGTATGAAATATCCTCACATTATCGTCCTATATATATTGTATTGTGATTTCCGTAGTAGATATCATTTAATTCCTATAACATACATATTCATTTTCAATAATTATGTCCTTTAGGATATATACGGAACGGGAGGAGGCATCAGCGACGAGAACAGACTAGCCATGTCCATTATCTCCTACGTCGGATGTAGTATTTCCCTCTTTAGCCTCTTATTGACGCTCTTCACATATTGTTTATTTAAGTAAGTGAATACTAGTTGAGCGTACTAATTACAAGGCAAAGCATCCTGATTTTGAAAAACGTTAATTTTGTATTCAAAACATTCACAGTAGCATGTTGATGCAGTTTTCAGTATCAAACATATTTTTTCAGTTTGCATATACGTCAAGGGAGATTACTTTAGTGTCCTTATCAAGGAGCCGGGAAAATGTGCAATACTCAACGTTTAAGTTTGTTTGTGATTTGATATTATACTTCTCACTTTAAATATATTTTTTCCATTCTAATTAAAAAAACTGCATTCCTGGAAAATATCAATTGATGCTTAAGGAAATCCTGCAAATTCTAGGAAATGGTAATGTTTACATTTTTGCAATCCTTTAAAGGGAGACTACTAGTATCGTCTTAGAGACAAAGAAAACATCACTCCATGCAAAATATACCAGTTACTAAAGGTCAAACTAAAATGATTTTATCATTTGTTTTCAACACTTGTTTAAATTCTTCTCGCACTTTCTTAGTGATCTATATGTAATTTTTTACTTTGTTCTAATTTGTCCTGGTATTATCGTTTTTGAGTTGTATGATGATTTTGTTGAAACTGTGATATTATCATGCTGTTTTTCTTAATATCCTGCTTGATATTTTTATCTTTAATTCAAATAGATTAAAATCTTAACAATGAGTCTTTAAATATACATGTCCTCATGTTTTACAGGAAACTACGAAGCAGTAACCCGTCAAAGATCCTCATAAACCTGTGTATAGCATTGATTGCAGTCAATGTAATTTTTATTTTGGGTCAGCAGGCCTATGCACTCGACAACTCCGCTGCATGCAAGGTATGGCTACATTTTCTAATATGAAACAGGGGTATTGACACCAACGAGTGTAAACGTATATCCATTGACAACCATAATGTCTTCCTTCAATAATATTCATCTGTTTGGAAATATGTATATCAAAGTTTTACTTTCTACACAAACATTGTACTATTAAACGCGTCGCAACGTTGAACGACCGACTGGCCTCTTTGTCAAGCTATGACTATAAAATGACGAAGGGACCAGTCGGTCTTGAAACGTTACGACACGTACATTGTTTGTGAAGACAGTAAAACATTGATATATATGATGTCTTCCGTTTTTAAACACGTGGCTGTTGCAGTTACCTTTCAGTGTCAGGTTCTATTGGTGCTCAATATCTCTCAAAACATATGTATGAACATACTAATGTAGATGTAGAATTAAAAGCCGAAGAAAATGCATGATACAATGGACATATTAACTAATTTAGTGGAACGTTGGTTGTTCGTTTCAGTAGACTGCACACATTTATAGTGTATATTATTGCATAAAAGATAATATGGACTTGAGTTATAATGTGGATTGCTAATATAAATATGTTTTCAATTATCACCCGTCTTTTTTTTTTTATTAAATAGAGAACACTTGTGCATGTGTATTGTCCTTTGTCAGCCTACTAATTTGTAACACTCTTTCTGATTGGATATCTTACCGGGGTCTATATTTCTATAGACCCCGCTCTGCCGGGGTCTGTAAAAGTACGTGCGTCGTGAGATAACTCAAACTAAAATCTCCTTTCATAACAACAAAGATGGCGTCCAACACACACACAAGCGTTCGATGTGTGCCAATTCTTCTCAGGATGAAATAGCCTACTTAATTGACAGCAAATTCAACGAAACGGGCAATGAGGGGGCCTCTAGTGTATTTAGTGTATTTATTACAAAGATGGTAGTGATTGTCCGAAATATTGCCGAAAAAGGTGTCCGGTAGGGGCTATTTTGTTAGCAGTCAAGTATAACTCAAACTCACAAAGTGACTTACAACTTTGCAGAAAAAACAGTAATAAAAGATCGCCAGGGTGACAAATTCGTTATCTCTGGGTTAGGAGGGATCTACGGGCTCATAGACCCCTTTGGTTTTCATAGACCACTTGCCTTCGGCTCGGGGTCTAAAAAATCCAGACGGGGTCTATGAGCCCGTAGACCCCTCCTAACCCAGAGATAACTAATAGTGTATTGTAAAAAAGTGCACTGACGTTGCTGTTCAGTTTATCTAATACATCATATTCATCTGACCAGGTCGTGGCTGTACTGCTACATTACTTCCTGCTGTCCGCCATGACTTGGATGGCCGTGGAGGCTTTCTACATGTATCTGGCATTGGTCAAGATATTCAACACCTACATTCGACGGTTCCTCATCAAATGTTGCCTGGTTGGATGGGGTGAGTATATTTCTGTTTCGTATTACTTTTCTTAAGAAGTTCTTACGCATAATAAGTTCCTATTTATCTATTTTTCTTTCGACGTTGAGATAAAAAAAAAATGCCTTTTTCTAATGACGCTATGTTTTATACTTCATTGAGAGAAAACCTATTATTCTGGTATGCTACCTAAAATTTAGGGATTACATTTATTTAGTTATTGATTATCCGTCTTCTGTGTTTCTGTGTTATAGAGTATTTGAGTCTCGTTAATGGTAGTCATCACTAATTCAGTTTTTCAATTATCAAACCCGTGATTCTTTTAGACAGTTTGGCCTTTTTTCTTAACAAAGTCGGTGATTTCTGGAAAAAATATATTTAAACATGGCAAAAACGGAAAAAAATTAACAATGTGTTGACTCTTCTAAATCTATTTTACTTTGCTCTGACAGGTATTCCGCTGGTTGTTGTGGTGGTGACATTGGGGATAAACAAGACGGATAATTATGGCCGACAGCCGGGAGACATGTAAGTCGCGACATTAATGCTCAGTATCTGTTGACAATTGGCCATTAGAGAAAGAAACTGCAACATTTTATATTTAATCTGACCATGTGAGGATAGGAAAGGTTTTAAAAACCACAATCCTTTTGAGTTGATCGAGAATGAGTTTTCGTTATTATAAGGGAGGCTACTCTGATGGTCTTACAATGATGCATGTATTTTGTTGTTACACATCTGAAGTTTTGCTGAGAATTAAAAAAAACATTTTTTTAATCAAATGTATTCAATTTTACATGTCAATAAGAAAAATGTACACAATTATAAGTGAATGGATTTTTATGGGGTTAATTTCTCAATTTAAATATATTATCTTTGCTACTGCTTAAAACAAATCCTCGGATTATTTTATTTAAACTTTCCTTTTGTTAGATGCTGGTTAGATCCCATTCCGTTCTACAGTGCATTCCTTGCCCCTGTGCTGCTGATTCTGATTTTAAACACAATCGCATTCGTCATGGTAACACGGCAGTTGTTCGGAATGTCATCAAAGAAGATCACCAAGTCTGACAAATCCAGCACGTTGTCCCGACTTCGAGGGGCAGTGGGCGTGGTCATTCTCCTTGGTCTTACGTGGGTGTTTGCAGTATTTGCGGTCGGTGGCACCGGTGGAATTATTGTCCAATATTTGTTCACTATTTTCAACTCACTTCAGGGACTTTTCATTTTCATTTTTTATTGTTTTCTGCACAAAGAGGCGAGGAAGCACTGGGCAAGAACGTTGCCCTGTTGTGACGCATCCAACGAGAAAGGAAGCACACAGACCAGTAGAGGTATACATTCGTCTACTCATTATATATCTTAGCATTACACACATCCAAAGTTGTGACAGATAGTCCTGCTCTGTCCCTTTCACAAACAGTTACATATAGTGGACTTACACACGTACCGTACACAGTATCGATTTGCTATTAACGATACAACAGCGAGTAAAGTTGATGTCATTCAACGCTTAGAATGTAAGCACACGTGTAGCCAGTGTTTAAAGTTGCTTTTCGCTTCAAAAAGGAAAAAGTTAATGAATACTGATAAAATAATTGTTAAACAAAGCAAAGGATCTGCCTTTCCTAAAAAACAACGTTTCATTGTAAATGCATTATGCTCCGTTCTGGGAGTCCATTCTTAACATTGCATATCATTATTTTTCGTTTATATATCATTTTAATTGTAGTTTCGTAAGTGTCTGATAAGAATATTTGGGAAAAAAATACAATATTCAAACGATTTGCCGTCAGTTACTACGTGTTATATTTTGACATATTAGACCTTCATAACTACACGATTGATCCAAGAATTACCAAAATGTATGAATCTCAAAATGAAAGATACGCGCGTTTCCATGAAAATGCAACGATCTTCTTTTACATGAATCTCAAAATGATTGATGCGAATGTTTTCAGGCGATATTTGGGGGAAAATGAAATTTGTCCAGATAAACCAAAATGGATGATTTTTGAGTCGCCTTTTATTTCTCTAAATATTTATGTTAGAGTGATGTCATTTCAATAAATCGATTTTTTTGAATTATATAATAGGCCTTCGTATGCTTGAACTTGAAATTAGTTCCATCATAATACGAGATTACATGCATTAAATTACACATCCCAATAAGAAAACACTTAAACTGAACATATATTTGTATTTGTTATTAGCTATGATTAATATAGCAATCACAAAATTAAAGGTAAGTTACTTATACACGACTTATATTTTCAGAGGAGAAAGGGAAAAAGTACACCGCAGGTATATTGATAAATACTCCTGGCATTTTCTGTGACGTTGCTAAGCTCACTTTCATTTTAACTTTTTAATGTGTGTGTTATTTTTGTCACATCTGATTGTCCATGCTAACACCTTTCAAGTAACACTTTCTTCTCTGTGACTTTCTATTCACTATCTCACTGAACACCGTTAATACTGTAGGGTTGCAAAGCCGTTTATACCGTTTGTTTTAATATGTCAAAACATCTTTGCTTTTGCGAATATTAAGGGGACATGGTCACGTTTAATAATTAACAGGCGAAAGTGTGGTAAACGTATAAAAAGCACTCACAGCTGTATCACATGTCTGTTCAATGCAATGATCACACGGGTATTTATATGCAATTTACGAACTAACCAGAGCGTTATGCTTGGATGTGGATGTTGTAATTGTTTTGTTTTGTTTTGTTTGTTACTGTTTTGTTAAATCGTTGTTTATATGTGCAGTGGAACCTAATTTATAAGAACAGATCAGTTCGAATAAAACAATCCGAGTTTATTAATTTTCCTTATAGACGGCAAATCAGTTGTCTTTCAAAATTCTGCCTCCTGTATGTGAATGTCGGGACAGTATAATATTCGGATAATCGGATTAGGGAAATCGGTAATCGGTAATGGGCTTCCACTGTATTTACATACCGATTTCGATTGACGTAAAATGTATTTATAACACGTACTTTGATATTAACACTCGTCAAGTGTGTTTATATTTAAATAGTATGCATGCTATTTTATTATTTCATTATGAATAATGTATATCTTTCTCAAAACATTGAACTATGATGATAACGAATCCATACGCTAAAAGAGCTTTTAAGAGGGATGTGCCGAATAAGTTTCAAAGTCATCAGACTTCATGGGTTTTATGAAACCATTTACCACATTTTCATAAGATTTGATTTCAAGACATTCCAGAATAGGAGTGTAATGCGGTATTATTGTTTTCTTTTCTATTTGACAAATGTGCACCCTTTTGCTTGTTAAAAAAATAGTGTTCATTAAGATTGGTCAGCCCAATCAAGAACGCTGTTTTACTTGTTTTAAAGAATTATTTTTTCTTTTTAAAGATGAAATAAATTAATAACCTTCATTAAAAGTTCAAAATAATAATCAAAATGCTCTTGAAATAGCGAATTTTAGTGTTTTAAAAGTCAAAATAATGATAATTTGGACATTTATTCAGGGTTACTTTCTCTTTCGTACCGATCAAAATCGATAGAAGTATGATAATCCAACAATGAGCAAAACAGTTCAACATCGTTTCGCAAATAAAATTTAAGTTTTAAGATGATATGTTTCATGAAGCATGATACGAGAGGGTCCCTAAAGCAACTGTCAACATATTTACAAATTTATCCAAGTGCTATAATCATCTATTTTTGTATCATATCTATCAACATTTGATTTTCTTTTCAAGCTTTGATTTGCATATTTGCTACGTTTATGCAATGGAACCTCTCAAGTGAAGAGAACTTTTATTTCTTAGAATTTCGAAAAAAGTTAATAGAGGGGAAGGATTTGGTGTGGGTCGTACTACGATGATGTTTATTCAGAAATAAGTGAGTAATCATCCGCGAAGTCAAGAGTAACGGATTTCTACTGAATTGATGATGCAGTGGATTTTTGTTAGTCGGTACATTTTCTGTTCCAAATCCGGAATATTGACCTCTCCTATCAAGGTAAATACCAACACAGATATATTTTTCTGACAATGCAAGTTGAGAACCATGCATGATCTTTAAAAACTCCTTCATTAAGACAACTCTTGGTGAACATGAAATTGACCATTCGACATATTTGTCTGGTTGCTAACCCTCTGTCAGTGCACATAACCAGGAGTTGCCTTTGTGTCGAGAGGAAAAAGGTCATGCATGGTGCATGATTTGTAGTTTCTGCTGAAATGAAAGGATTCCGAGCAATTGAGGTTCAATTAGTCTCGTTTTGTGTGCCTCTTTGTTCGCATATTACACTTTTCTTGCCAGGATACAATTCCAGCAGTTCTCCGTCTTCTAGAAATGGCACTGCTTCCTCTGGCGACTTTTCTTCTGATATAAGCAGGAGCACAAGTCAAAGTGACATCGATCCACAATGTAGGTATTCGCCATAAAATGATGTGACTAACATCTTCGAGAACTCTACTAACAACTTTTGCCGACATCATACACACAGCTAGCTTCTTCGGTATAATCTCAAAACGTCTTTTTTACATTCTCAGTTTTGGTTTACCGTCGAAAAAGAAATTCAGTTTTACAAAGCCGTTTTATGTCAGTTATAGTTAAATATCGTAATGTAAATTTCATTTTGACCACACAAAGTATACTTCATGTTGTTTATTCTTAATTTTGGTGTAATCTTGAAGTAAAAAGAAAAGTATATATAAAGTAATTTTAACTAAATCATCATGTAGGAAGGAGAGTTCCAACTCTTTAACATCTTGTCATTTTCTTTATACTGATTCTTCGCTGAAGTTGGAATCTCTTTGCCATTTTTGTTCTCTGCTCTGAAATACAAATATAAAATATAGAAAATTGATGTGAGCAAAACACAAACTTGACCTAAGGAAAATCTTTATTCCATAAGGTTGAGCTATTCGGAAGTTTCTTTGTGTGTAAGTTTCCATGTTATTCAAAGTCAGCTTTTAATATTGGTGCTTTCAGAAATGTGAATCCTTGGTAGAAATCCTTAAACAATGATACGGTTAATAATGTTAACTTTTATATATATTGAAATTCGATGTCAATATAAATCTCCACTTATTATAATAATGTATATTTTCATTGATACAAATATTACTTATATACATCGAACGCATTTTACGTTTGTATCGATATGTTACTGTTCACCATGCCACACTGTTTTAAACAATGTGATTGGAAGGAATTGATCATGATAAGGGAAAAGTTTAGCTTCAGCTTAAACCCTTAATATTAAAGCAGCATGCAAAGCTTACATATGGGTAATTTGAGCATTTATTTACAGATTAAGTTTAAAAAGTTTAAAAATTGAATAGGTAGATCAAACAAAATGTTCATGACGTCACGTTTTACATGCTTTATATTCCCAATCAACAAACAAAGAAAACAAATTTTTGATTAAGTTTGTTCTAAAATTAATATTTTTTTATTTATTTATTTTGCCAGACTTTTAGACAATTTTTTCAAGTAAAAGTTGTACACTAAATAGACATGTGAATGAGGATTTACGGAGTTCCCTTTATGTTTAACATTTAATCCCATGCAAATTGTCCTAGATCATGTAACTATCCCTGTAGCTATAGTTGTTAATGTTAATTATAATATAGGGTAACATATTCATGTAAGTGTATTGTTTCTGTCTCTTTTCTATTTATCTTCATTTATGTTTGTATAAAGTATCATAGTGTATTGTGTTATTAAAAACAAAGTTTCAAAGTATAAACTAGATGATATTCAAAATATGTTACTATTTTTATATACGAATATGAAATACTCTGGCGTTGTATATGGTATAAGGTTGCGTTTTTTGTTGGTGTGATTGCTTTAAGTGACAATAGGCAAACCCTCCATTGAGCAGTCAGAATTCGAAGACTTTGCTATTCCTTACTGAGAAATAAGCTGTGCTTGTGTGTTCAATGGGTCATTTGACTAAAGCTTTTAGAGAGTTGCAATGGAAATAATATGTATATAACATTTGATATTTTATAAATAATTCCAAAACGCAAAGCTGTATAGTGAATGATTTGAGTCATCAAATCCTACTACAGTATTAACGGTGATCTAAGCATGTTTTCAAAGTCACCTGTCTACATCGAACCTTGTTTAAACTAATCGAAAATAAACAAGAATTTAACCTGCCGAATTTACATATTTTTCTACGTTAAATAAGAACATGTTTACTAGCGTCGACACAAATCTGGATTAGAATATTGGTTCCGGTGGTGCGTTCGATTTAGACAGGGTTTAGCTGAGTTTCACTTTATAAAGTAATTATAGAGTAAAGCAAAACGTGAAACATAATTGTTTTCTCTCTTATCATACACATTACCGTCCTGCAAGTCAAAGTGATAAACTGTATAACGGATTTTTTTCGCTCAGTGAAATACTCGCCAAGTGTCCATTTAATCCGTCAAAGTTAAAACATTGTATAGGGCGCATCTACTAATTAGCTTTTATAATGAGGAATCACTAAGGGTTAAAGGGCGAAATTTTAACTGTGTCGAAACGTTTCCTGTGTACAGTTTACATACTGACCTGCGTGTACATTTTCTTTCACTAGAAATTAGGTTATTAAACGTGAGATTATCAATAATTTCAAGTGAAAATTGCTATTTAGTATACATATTCTTAGCGTCACGTAATTTAGATAATGTTCATTTGATATGGACATACTAATAATAGGTATCGGTATCAAACTGATAATCATATGACTCAAATTGTCATATTATATTTTACTTTCAAGAGAATCAGTCGTATTTTCTTTATCGAAAAATCAGCCCTTCGCTGTTTAAAGGCCAACGTTTTTAACATTTGTATACATCAATGAATTAGAGCACATTTTATAAAACAAAAATTAACAACGCTTCATTTCAGAAGTGAATTCATTTCAATAAAAACATATTTTTTTAAAGAAATTTATATCTATTTATAGCGTTTATTGTTTATGTTTCAGTTCGATCGAATGAGCATACAAGAGGAAGATACCCATCATATGCTGATTCAACAATTTAGTGCTCCATGCATGTTTAATTTCACGATAACAATACAAAAGTAACAAGATTCCACAATGTTTTTCTCAGCTGATTTGTGATTCATTATAATGGAGTTGTCGACCCCACTGCGACTCAACAATATAGCGCTTAAAGGTTACACGGCTCAACAATATAGCGCTTAAGGTTACACGGCTCAACAATATAGCGCTTAATGATTACATTGTGTAGTAATGTAGCACTCACCTACACTGATTCAACAATATCTAGCTCAACTCTAAAATAAAGCACGACTATTCTGATGTACCAATGCAACGATTTATCCATTTCTGATTCTACAAAGAAGTACTGAACACTTGATTCAACAAAATCGTTTCCATGGATTCGTTTAAACAAAATAGCGTAAGATGCCTATTTCATTCAACAATATACCGCTTCATTACTCTCCGATTCAACAATATCGTGTTAAACTAATCTCATATTCAACAATTTTCAATAATATAACACCAAACTACTCCAATCTAGCTGTATTAAAAATACAGCTCTTTACTACTTATTCTATTCAACAATATAGCTCTCAAGTTATGTTATATTTGACTCAACAATATTCAACAATGAAGTGTTCAGCTGCTGTCTGACTTCACAAATATTACCAAGCTCCTGTCGTCTTTCATTTAATCCCGTGAGCATGTCTTTTATAGAGTGTATTATTATAAATTGCTTCTTCAATATCGTTCTTCATTTTTATGTTGTATTTAATACCTAATTATGGCTGTTATAGTTTTGTTTATATTTGTTTAATAATTGATTACATAATGTAACTGATAAAAGACTGCAATCGTAAGAAAGAAATAATGTGTGTATGTAAATAGAGATTTAAAGTCCCTGTGTAAAATATAAAAAAAAGATAAATAAAAGAAGCATTTTACCGGGGCTTTTCGCCCCTACTCTTCGATTCCAATATAATGCAGTTAAGTAAATTCTGATATGATTCAATAATGTATCAAGGATTTAATGGGATAAGATTAGCTTCTTTCTTTTATCTATTTTTATGTATATGCATGCATATATATTATAAATATAACGTTTGTAAATGGATGAATAAAATTATATATAGTATGATTGAACATTTAACATGTATTATGAAAGAGAAGGTATGACAGATGCACTAATATGCTTATAAATATACGGATGGGTGAATAATCTGATACATACTGTAGTGTTCTTTTCTTATGTGCACATTTCATTTTTGCGAATAGACCATTCTGTACTTATTCGCAAAAAAATTAAATCCAATATCATCCGATAGTTATAAGTATAAATAATTGATGACGTGATACATGAATTTTTTATACATGTAAATGTTTAACGCGAATTTCACTCGAAAATGAATACCACGCTCGTAATTTAGTCTAGGACATATGGATCTTCTTATTCTGCATGGAAGTAAGAAAGAAATGACGCTTTATTTTGTGAGTTCTTCCTCACTTGACTATATATTATCATTGTAACACTGATGTTGGCAAAGTCAGACGGAAAGAAGAATCCGAGATGATAAAGGCACAAATTTGTATCATGCAATAAGCATAAGAATTGTGGAAAACCAATTAACTGAATACGATATAGCTACACATGTATACCCACCAAACACAGCTTAGTGGTTGCATGCAAAGTTATATCGAAGTTCATGTCCAGCGATATGTTTCATATTTATTTCGATGTCATCCGTATGATTTGGTAATCGCTCTTACTTTAAACGTATATATTTGTTTGCTCAAATCCTTGTACATAGAACAAGAAGGCATACTCCCTTTCTCAGGCTTTAAACTTGAAGATATATTGTTATCCATGACGTCATTCCAGTTTGTGTAATACGTGTCATATTATGCGCCATATTTAACGCGAGAAATCTGTATTTTTCACCACAAATATTATTATGCATTCTTCTTTTTGTTTGTTTTCGCCATATTGAAAAAAATATTAATCAAGATTACTAACAAGAATAATTATTGCCTTAAAATGTTATATTTATTTGTTGCCTTAATAGCTGTTTATTTGTAAACGTTCCTGGTATTAATATAGAGCAATTCACACGATTTTATTGTTGCAAACACTGGGATTGGACAACAGACAAAGTCTATATCTTAATTATTTCCCTTAAGTACTTTCATATAAGTAAATTTTGACATATACTGTAATAGCTATGCCTTCCTATTCGCTACAATACTAATGAATCGGTTATCAGCTGTTTTGGATATGTATCAATTCGAAAATATATACAAGGTAATTTCGCTTACATGATTATGGATAACATGTATATAAGTATATGTCTATATATCTGAAGTTGGATTAACAAGGGTCGGCGATACCAAGAATCGTAAGGAGATGCATTATATTTTATGTACTAACGCTTATCGACAATCAGTATTTTAACTCATGTGTATAATGTATTAATATTTCACATAATCAATTATCTGAAGCGTAAATTTTTATCATTCAAAAACTAACTATTGCCACACGAGTCATTTCAGTTAATGTTGATATACTTTATTGCCATGACGATTTCAAAAACACCAAATTACCGTTGGCAAAAATATAATAAGCAGCTGTCAGATTTGTTTACCTGTCGAAGGAAAGCAATACAATTAGCTTCATGTCACTTTTTGTTTTATTTAATGTACTTTATGTATATGTATCAATCATATGAATAGCGTAAGCAAGAGTTGTTATGGTAAAAATTAAACTGGGCCAGTATGGCGTCAAATCAAATCACCACAAGATGACATCACAGTGAAGTATTTTGAAATGACCTCATTAACTCGGAAGACACTAGAGTTTTCAAAATCGTCCATTCCTTTCAATTTGTTTTGTGTATTATATACCAAAAATAAAAAAAGGCCCAGCCTTTATACATAACATGTATCCCAAGTTTCGTAAAAAAACCCGTTCATGTTTAAAACACTTTTCTCGGAAGGTAAGCGGAGTTTATATAAACTTATAGTTCATTACAACACATTAAAAGTTGGTTATAATTTCATTTTTATTTTTAGTAAAATATGTGGTTATAAGTCTTTATTCATTGATTTTGTTGACTCTCATAATATTATTATTTATCCATGATAGAATTTCATTTCTGACATGAACTGTGTAAACAATTTCAAACATCAAAAGACATGTAGAAGATAAGCTTGAAATGTTATTTGTAGCCTGTGTATTCACTTAATGGTTGAATTACAGGTTTATTCATCACCAAAAAACGATTTTTATAAAAATCAAAATCATGGCCATACGAGAAAGAATTAAAACAATCGAGATAGGTTTTTGATGTGTATAGGTAGGCAAATGATTGCCTAATTCATGGTGTAACCCATACGTTGGTCAGTTAGTTTATTTCATAACAATGACAGTTTGTTTCTTATACACGATTCAAAAAAGTATCGCGATTCCCATTTATTGGATACTAGTAACAATTCACCAAGCTTGCAAGGCCTGAAATTCAAAAGCTGCCAAGTTTCATATAAAAGTGTCCTCCAGAACTGAAAATGTATGACAGCCTTAACAATGTTTGTTGTCGATAGTGCTATCATTTCACAAATCACTCACCTTAATGTACAACTCATCCAAAAATAGCATTCTCACGCTCCTAAATGTTGAAATAACGTCGATCTGAAATGTATAAATATAACATCACAAATACGTATAACAACAATGGCGCCGACATTTAAGAAAACGTTTAATTTTTAAACTCATCCAATGAAGAGGTTGTTATTGTTTACTTTTGAAAATAGTTGTAGAAACTTAAAAAAAAGTTTAAAATTTTAAGAAAGATTGTTTCATATATAGAAAGATCATGAAATACAATTCTTATAAATAAAGTAAACCATGCTTTGTTTTACCGACACAACAAACAGCCGTCCATTGTATCACTGCTGCAGACATTGCTAACGTATTTGATCTGATACAATTTATTAAAAACAGAAAGTTTGTACTCTATGCACTACATTGATTTTCACATGAACACTTCAATTAAAAAAATTGTGATAATCAATTATCCTCAACACAGGGTTTCATTAAGGACTAAACTATTTTTCATCTAAACTCCCTAATTATATCATGATGTATCCAAGTAATATGAAATGCATAATACATTATATATGTACAGTGATATTGAATAAAACAAATGTACTTGAAAAAATTGCGTATTTTTTTTGTCTTTGTCTTATTGGAATACGGTAGTGTAAACAAAAGACGTAATTCGAGGTCAAAATCGATAAATAAATAACAAGACAGAAAAAAATCGAAAAGATATTTTATACGGTAATCCTATATATATTGTTGCTGTGATATCAGTAATTGAGAGATGTGACATCTCGAATTTACGCCTTATACAAATGTTTCACAATATCTGCGTATTTAGTAAATATGTTAAATATCCCGCACGAAAACACATCGAATTTGTACGGCATTTTGTATTTTACTCAGAGTCGCTTGCCGATTTACCATGGCAACGAACAAGGGATACTCCTTTTTAAACAAAAACATCTCTACCCTTATGGGGATTATATCACAACTTCTTGATTTTAACGGGGCAAACCTTTCTTTTGTTTTTCTGTAAAATCCTATGAAATACTTTTATACAGAAGAAAAGTGATGGGACTCTCTACCTAAGTGTCGAGTATACTGTAGAAAAGTGATGTGATCTCTACCCTGATGTCCAGTATACAGTAGAAATGTCCAGTATACAGTAGAAAAGTGATTTGACTCTCTACCTTAATATCCAGTATACCGTAGAAAAGTAACGGGACTCTCTACCGTGATATTCAGTATACTGTAGAACAGTAATGTGACTCTCTACCTTGATTTACAGTATACAGTAGAAATGTTCAGTATACTGTAGAAAAGTGATGGGACTCTCTACCTAAATGCCCAGTATACTGTAGAAAAGTGATGGGACTCTCTACCTTAATGTGCAGTATACTGTAAAAAAGTAACGGGACTCTCTACCTTGATATCCAGTATACTGTAGAAAAGTAACGGGACTCTCTACCGTGATATTCAGTATACTGTAGAACAGTAATGTGACTCTCTACCTTGATTTACAGTATACCGTAGAAAAGGGATGGGACTCTCTACCTTGATGTCCAGTATACAGTAGAAAAGGGATGGGACTCTCTACCTTGATGTCCAGTATACTGTAGAAAAGGGATTGGACTCTCTACCTTGATGTCCAGTATAGTGTAGAAAAGGGATGGGACTCTCTACCTAAATGTTCGGTATACTGTAGAAAAGTGATGGGACTCTCTACCTTGATGTGCAGTATACAGTAGAAAAGTGATGGGACTCTCTACCTTGATGTTCAGTATACAGTAGAAAAG